GGCCTGGTGATCTGCTTCTGAAAATCAACCAGTGAAAACCTTATGGAGCACAACAGACATTGTCTGATGGAGTGATGGAAGATGACTCCCTTAGGTTGGAAGACACTCAAAATACACAGTGGCCGCAACAATGGACTCGAGTATACCAATGATCGTTAAGATGGCAATGATATGTTCTGCAGTAGATGGGGTTGCCATGAGTCAGAGCCAGCTCAATGGCAACTAACAACAACAACTGCTACTAATTCTCCACTTGTGCATCTCCAGCCCTGATATTGCCACAGAACTCCAGCTTCTACATCCAATCTGCTCCATCTGTCTTCCTCATCTCAGTTAATGGCCCTCCATCCTTCCTGTTCTTCAGGCTAAAAGCCTGAGAGCTATCCTTGACTCCTCTCTTTCTGTCATATCCCAATTCCATTATGTTTAGATCAAGATCTAAAAGCAGGGTGGTGGGGGGAGGGAAGGAGGCAGGCAGCCTTCCACAGCCAGGCCCTGGAGTGCCTGGAGCCCTCCTAGGGGAGTTAGGAAGCCCTCTAAGGAGCCAAAGAGTCTGGAGAAAGCCAGCCACCCAGGACTCATCTCCTGAAAGGGAGAAAGCAGGGGCCAGAGCTGCTGTTGGTTTGAGGGACATCATGGTGGTAAGTCACAGGCCTAATCTCACTGCAGCTCCTCATTTCTACTCGGCCCCTCCTGCCTCAGCTCTGGGAGGACCTAGTGAGCATCTGTTGTGTGCGGGGGACACATAAATAGACAAGGTCCCTGGCCCTCAGGACCATAAAGGGGAACAAGCATGTAAGCAAAATGTGCAACCAAACACACCTGAGGCCGGTACTATTATTGTCATTCCCATTTGACAGATGAGGAAACAGATGCAGAGATGTTGGGTCACTTGCTCAAGATTATAGAGCTAATACATTTGAAGAGGGCAGCTCGCTCCAGGGCTGCTGCCCCTCCCTTGCAGTCCCTGAGGCAGACAATGGAATGGCCAACTCCAGTGGGGTTGAGTGGCCCGCAAGACCTCACAGTGGAGGCGGCATCTGAACTCAGCGGGGAGAATGAATGCAAGTGCATAGACAGCAGTGGGAGGAAGGACCTCTGGGCACAGGGACCCAGAAGCAGACGGGTTGCTGGAGCTGAGGATGAGCGGGGGAGGAGGGGCATAGACCTTATGCACACACCAAGAGTAGCACCTTATCAACAATTGTGACAAGTGAGCATGGTGGCCGTTAAGATCGGGTTGGGAACATGTTGAGGGGCTAGGAGCCTCAGAAGCCAGTCTCCAAGGAGCAGCACCGTTTGTGTCCCCAAGCCTGGGCTGGGTTCCCAAGGAGAGCACAGGCGCCTTTGCCCTAGTTGAGGTGTCCTCTAAAATATACCCAGTCCCCTGGGCACCAAAGGAGCTCCATTCTCATCCCCAGGAGATCCTGGTTTTCTCTGTGCGAACCGACAGGCCGTGGGGTTATGGCCCTCCTTGCTTTCAAAAGGGGAGGGCGCAGAGGGTCTGCAGAGGACAGGAAGTCCCTGCAGTCTTGGAGGAGCCAGCCAGCCAGGGAAGGACACTGGAATGGATGGACATGCCCGGGGCAGGGGGCACAGGAGCGGAGCAGGAAGGGTGGCAGGGTGGCAGGGAGCTGAGCCCTGGCCAAGGCCGCTTGCTGCCAACCCTGGAGGCTGGAGGGCAGAGGCCCCCGCCTGGCAGAAGGCAGGACCCACACCCCCAAGGGCAGGTTAGAGGTCCCCTGCCTGGGACGGGGTGGGGGTGCTCCGGGAGGGCTTCTCAGGTTCACCTGCCCCAGCCGAGAGGAGGGGGCTCTGGAGGCGCCCTGAAGCCCCAGCTGGGTGGGCCGGCGCTTCCTACGAGGCTTTCCCAGTCCCTGAGCTCCCTGGGAACCTTCCTGCCCCGCTCTTAGCAGCCTGCCTGGTGGTGTGGCTCTTCCTGGACCTCCCCCATACCGGCCTCCGGAGGACTCCCCACCTAGCGCTCTTAGCAGGCCCAGAATACTCCTTCCTCTCCCCTTCCCGCGCCTTCGGGTTTCTGAGCCGAGGTCCTCCTGCATCTCGCTGCAGCTCCAAAAGGGAGGCAGCATTCGCCCCACTGCTCGGATTTGACAGGAGGGCAGCCTGTGCTAACGACCAGGGTGGGGCAGGTAGGTGAAGGAGCCCAGGACACCCAGCCATTGGCGGCACGCAGCCTCGCCCCGGCCCTTCTCCTGCGGGCTTAGGCTGCGGCCCACGCGCCTCTCCTGGCGCCGGGCACCCAAGGCATCCTGGGCAGCAGGCAGGTGAGCGCGCCGGGGACTCAGGAGGCTGGGCTGCGCGGGGCCGCGCTGGGTCACCTAAGGGCCACTCCAGGATACGGCGGGGACCAGCGCCCGCCACCGCGCCCCGAGCGCAGAGCAGGCCCCGCCCCTCCGCACCACGCGCTGGGCGGGGTGCGGGGTAGGCGCGGGTGGGGGAGCGGGTGCACGGTGCGGGGTGCGGGGTGAGCATGGTGGGGCGTGCAAGGCAGGGTGCGCGGGGTCCGGAGGCAGGATGCGGAGG